TTTTGTCTGTCTCCTGGATGCATTAGGATTTAATTATTTGCTGAGTAAAAAAATCTCAATGTGTCTCCTTACAGGCTGCCTTTAAAAAGAAGGCAACATGGCAACTACAGACGCTGCTAACTTTTATTATAACTTCTCCATCATTGATCTCAATGAAAACAGAAGTGAGAATTTTCACACATTTACAAGAATCTTCCTGCCTTGTATGTACTCGGTTGTTTTCATCCTTGGGCTAGCAGGAAACGCGCTGGTCTTTGTCATACTAGTTTTCTATGAGAAACTGAAGACGTTGACAGATATATTTTTGCTGAACTTGGCTACAGCTGACTGGGTCTTCCTTTGGACACTGCCATTCTGGGCATATTCTGCTGCTCAGGAGTGGACTTTTGGCACTGTGGCGTGTCGTATTATACGGGGCTTGTATACTCTGAACTTGTACACTTCAATGTTAACTCTAACGTCTATCACCTTTGACCGGCTTATTGCTATTACTTTTGCCACCAAAGCACGTATGTGTCAAATCAGACGAATGACATGGGGCAAATTAATCTGTGTCTTTATCTGGGTGATCTCACTAGCATTTGCCGCACCGCAGTTTATTTTTAGTGAGGTGTTTAGTATTGATAAAGCGATATGTCAGGAAGAATACCCAAACCACCACACAGAACTGGCTCTTGAAGTGATCCAAGTGACCCTTGGCTATTTTATTCCCATGCTAGCCATGATCATCTGCTACTCACTAATTATTAGAACCTTACTGCACGCCAGGAGTTTTCAAAAGAACAAATCTCTTAAAAAAATATTTTCTGTAGTTGCCATATTTATTCTTACTCAGTCACCCTATACTTTCTTGAGACTGATGAAGATTATAGACTGGAGCTTTAACTTGAACAGCAGCTTTGAATATGCAATCATCATAACAGAAGCTCTTGCTTATTTCCATGGCTGTCTTAACCCTGTTCTGTATTTCTTCATGGGGGTGAAATTCAGGAGGAACTTACAGAAAATTATTAAAAACTCAAGATGCGTCAAACGGCAAGTTACGGCCAAACAGTGGCAGACCACGGAAGAAGAAGGCTCTAGAACTTTTACTGTTGCAGATGCAACAAGCATGTACCCGCTATAAAACTGCCTAGAAAATCTGGCAACTATTTACAGCTGCTTTTTTTTTTTTTTCCTTGTAAATACTGAGATAGGCAGCCTGCATGAAAGAGGAAATACAATCCCATTAATAAAGACATTGTGATCGGCTTTAGGCCAACCTCTCTTAATCATGATACTTCAGCGTTTCCTGCTTTTCCTGGTCAGAGTTGATCCTAAGACAAAGCTGGTAAATGAATTAACTACACAGAAGATCTTCAAAAGGTCTAAGAAACAATGAGATAAAACTCCGTTCTTCATGACATAAAGCTAACTTGGACTTCATGAGTCCAGAAGGGCTGGAGACATTCACCAAACCTTTGGCCTGCTGGTTTTCCATGAAAGTTGTATGTTAACAAAAGCATTTATGGGTTTTGTTTCAAAGATATTACAGATTTTAGTTCAGCTCATTCATTTCATGAGAATTTCTGGATTAAAAACATACACATGTCAATCTTCATGCTGGGTTTCATGTGTGGTTGGTTTTTTTTGTGGGTTTTTTGTATTTTTCCATTTGGGAGAAGGTCTCCACACACACTCCTTTAGCATTTATCTAAAATTTCTGTAGTAAAGCAGCGTTTTCATCTGCCTTCCATCTAACATCAGGTTCATGGTCTGAATCTCCCATACACATCTTTGTATCTTACTTCTGATAACAGAGCTCATGTTGCCAGATGACTAGACCCCCTGTCAACACAAGGGATATCATACCACACGTGGGCTCTAACACTGAGCAGTGTTTCCGTAGATGCAAACTCTCACACCCTAATTCCCACACATTCTTTGCACCGTGACATCTTTCCAGTCTGTTTTTTCTGGTATCCCCTTGGCACCCTGGTTCCCTTGCCATGAAACTGTGGATTCCTTAGTTGTTCTCCTTCCTTGTTCCTGCAGTCCCTCCTTTCCACCTCTGGCCTTTTCACTTCCCAGTGGGAGGCAAAAAGGTGCACAGAGGACTATGCAGACTGGGGCAGAAAGTATGCAAAAGCTCTTGCAGAGAGTAGCAGAACAGGGGTGGAGACTGGAATAGGGAAAAGAAAGAAGGGATGTTGGAGAGGAGCAGAGGGAGGGCTTTATGCAGCTGTGGGCTGCCTATGACAAAGGCAGGGTTGGGTCCGGCCCAAAGGCTGAAAGTCCTTTGCATTACTTTGAAATACCAGTTTTAACCTGTTTTAAACCATTCTTGCAATAACCATGCTCACTTTGGATGTTCCTTTTCTCCCTATTAACACTCAGTTCCTCCTACCAGATCACTGCAGCTCAGTGGTACCTGACCCTTATCGGCACTATTCTGTTCATGTCACCTTTTTCCCCTTAGAAAACAGCTGCTTAGGCAATCCTTTCCTTACTACACAATCTCTCTTGTTTCTCCCATAGTGAAATGGTGCAATATCCTTAAAAACAAAACTAGGAAAGAACGTCCTGTGCTTTCACGTCTGTGTGGCAAGTGAATCTGCTATCCCAACACACAGCTGCAAGGCAGGCTTTGCCAGCAGAGCGTGGCGAGAGGTGCTCCTGTCCCCACTCCTCCCCCTGGCTGGTTTTGTGCAGGGCAGCGAACGCTTCAGACCACACACAGTTCCCCCTTTTGGCTATGCTGGCACCCTGCCCAGCCATGTGAGTTGTAATTAGGTCAGAAAAGAGTGTTATAAGTCATTAAGAAAAAAAGAATCCAAACCAAAGCAACCACCGTGCAGACAGGCTGAGATGTCCTTTCTACTAAAAGCAGTACCAAGGTGTGAATAAACTCTTTGTTTCTGTACCAGGATGGCAATTTTTTTTTTTTTTTAATTTTTTTTTTTTTTTTACACTTCTGCCATCTATGATCTTGATTCTGCTGCTGCAACATTTATTGCAGGCAAGTAATTTCTACTATATGTTAAAATGGAAACACAGTGCACTGGTTTACCCTGGGGACTTTGACCCAGTGCTATACAATATCCTGACCTTTGTTTTAGAACACAGTCTGCAAATATGAATGCTTTAGAAAGAAAAAAGTTTAAAAATACAACACTTCAAAAGAGAACTCATAAGCCTTGAAGTAGCACGATGTACTGCAATTGCACGATTTATCTCAGTTTCTCACATTCAGATTTCAATCAGATTGCTCCAAACTCACTAACAGTCCTGAAAGCATGAAGCCACTGCGGCTTAATCCTAACCTTTAGGAAAGAGCTGCTTCAAGGTCAGCCAGAGTTATGCTGATACACCATCTATCTTACCTTGCCACACACCTGTGCAGTTCATGACCAAGATGAGTTTTATTTGGTTCTCAATTGACCTGTACCAATAAAGGCAGTCTCTCAAAATTTGCTGTTATGAAGTAATGCCACTATAATAATTTCATGTCACTTCAAGGAAAGAACTATAGGGGCAGGGTTAAGGTAGACACCAAAAGGGGGACAAATAGAAAAGAAAATGTCCTTTAAGATAATGCACTGCTTTGAGCACCAACTCGCATTTCCAGTCCAGCAAGGACTCACACCCACAGTAAGGTAAGGTCATTGTGAAAATCTCAGCCAGACACAGCCAGAGTAAGGCTGTAAGAAACCATGTCAAGAGAGCATGTCTATCGCAGACCTTCTCTCTGTCTATTTGGACCATCCAGCCTCTGCAACCCGTCCCTTTGCCAAACAAAGGCAATACTAACCTCACAAGAGTATTGTGAAGCTCAGTAAGTTCATGTCTGCCCAATGGATGGTAAACATGAATATACTGTCAGTGTCAACAGTACATAAAATAGGCAGAATACATAGAACTTATTTACCAAGAAGCAAAAATGTAAAATTTTGAAAAGTTTTTTTTCCAAATAAACAAGTCTGTACAATCTGCCTTCTACCCAAATTGCAAGTCACTGTGATTTATGCCGGAAACGGGTCTGCTGAGGGCAAAAGAGTCTAGGTTTGCTTTTTCAGCAGCAGGCTGGTTACTCTGTGGCTATTTTCAGTTTAGCATTTAGACTTACCATGCTTACTTTTCTGCTCAGAAGCAAAACAAGTACAGAATTTAGATGAAATTGCTCTTTTTTTTTCTTCTCAAATATATGAAAGTTTTTGAAAGAAAATATATTTTACTGAACAGGATTTTTGGAAAATATTTGAAAATATTTGAATGATAGTAAAACAATATTTTATATAAACATGGATATACACTATAATACTACAACATTGTTTGCAAACCAAGTACTCAGATATTCAGATGGCCTTAGACCCTCTTCACTGCTAATTTATGTAGAAATAGATGTAAAAAAATGACTGAAACCTGCATTCACTCCCATTTTCTTAAGAAAAAAAGAAAAAACTTGAGCCAGATTCAGCTATGCAATTCCTATTCTTTTTCTTTTCTGTAAGCTGTTAAAGTAATAAGGAATCCTACAGACACAGACCAGTTATTTTACATTTAGTTCAACGAAGTCTGCCATAAAAAGAACAAATTTTTCCTTATCTTTTCCCCACCTCCTTGTTCTCCTGATATTAAGTAATGGTGAGTCTGACAGAGAGTATCGCTTAGGTCCTATTATGTAAGTTAAGTGTGAATGACCAGTGACCCAGTGTGCCGTGCAAGCTGATTTTAATGGTGACAGCTGGCCTGGCGACAGCACAGAACTGGGACTACTCCTCTGTGCTGTGGTGCAGCAGGTGGAGGGAGAGGATGGAGCTGTTTGGATTTACTAGATTTGATGCTGACTATGCAAATAGGCCAAAATTATTTTGTGTTGGTCTACTGAACATGTGGCTTGGAACAGAAATGTCTTCTCTTTATGCAGAGGTTGGCTATCCCCACTGAACAGAAAAAAAAAACCAACACTCCGAACAAAACCCAAAAGAGTCCCCCCTCTCCATGAAGCAGTGTTTACTCACAGATCTGTCACGCTTTGATCCAGAGACTCTCCCTCCATCTGACTTTCACTGTGGAGAAAGTCTGATTCCTGTACTTGGCACAGCTCCTCATCAGTGATTATATCAAATGCTGCATCATCTGGTGGTTTAGAGGCTTCACTTGCAACTGTGCCATAAAAGGACATGAAAAGAAACATTAACAATATTAGCTGGTTGTTTGGAAAACAAACAAGCAAAACCCTTAAGGGGGAAGACTGGGCCATTCCTCTACCTTTACAGAAGCATTAGGTAACTACTAGAACCAACTGAAAATCTCAGGCTGACTGACACTCATTTAATATACATGCAAATTTCTGTCAATACCAATCAAATACAAAGATGGACCAATCCCATCCTGAAAACACTCCATGAACATGCAGGTCCTTGGAGCAGGAGGTGACCATGCGGTTCCTTGGAGAATGTCTAAGAACCCTACTTATTTCTCTGCAGCATGCAAACAATACACTAACCAAAAGCCCTCTCAGATGGTGACACAGGTGATTCCAATGACGCAGGTGATCCTTCCTGGTTGGCACTGGATCCAGAGTCATCTGTACTGTCCACAATGACTCTAGGCTTATTAAAGCAAGCTCTGCAGCAACGCTCCTTTTTTCCACCAGGCTTTGTCACCATGTAGTTGTTGCAGCAGTAGTAGCAGAAAATGCGACCGCACATTCTAGAAATGAGTCAAACCCAAAGGTGTTAGAATAGTACCACATACTGGTGGAACATATCTATGTGACAGAGTCTGGGGCTTTGTCATAATGGTCTTGTTCTCTGCAAAAGCCCAACCGCTACATCTATGGCAGAACTCATAATACAGACTGCGCTGCTTTCTGAGGTGAAGCAAGTTTTCTTGACAAACAGGATGCAGAAATGCACATTCATACTTTGCTGCCTTAATAAATAGGGAAAACAGAAAAAACATAAAAATACTAAAAAAACGTAAATATACATTTAAACATAAATACACAAAAACAATTAAATACCCACAAATATGCAATACAAACAAATAATAGATCTATTAAGTACGTATGAAGCAAATGTACTTAATAATATTTCACAGGCCAAATCTCACACTCAGAGCAAAACTCTATTTGATTGTAAGAAGTGAAAGAACATGTCTGTATGTCTCTAACTAGTAATCATCCCTCTCCCCTTCACACAGAGATGAAGAAACAATATTGGACACATAAATGTACATACATCCCTCCTGCCCTCTCTGCTCTGCAGTCCCCCAGTATTAAACCTGTCAACTACTTTTTAATGAACATGTTAAGATTTTCATGAAGAAAAGCACCCAGCAGGGATGACTGTTATTCGTGAAGTCTTAGAGGTTTTGTTTTTCATAAACATTTAAACCATTAGTAGGTACTGGTGAAAACAGGAGCAGGTTTCACAGACTTTAGTAGAAGTGAGTAATTTGAAAGTTGTTACTGGAAATGACTTCACTATTCATTAATCCCCATGGAATGTTCCCTACGTTAATATGCAATTGGAAGTCCCAGTACTACATACCTTACATGATGAATCAGGTCGTGAGGGTAAAGAACAGTAAAGAGCCAAAACAAAATATCAGTAAGACCCTGAAATGTATCCACTTAAATATATTTGAATAAATCTAGATCATGTAACTAATAACTCCAAGCAGGATAATTGTATAGGAAATAATTTAATATTAACTTTTTTTTAAAAGATTACTTTGCAATCGGTAATTATTTCTGAACTAGTGTAAGTAACCAAATTTATAATTGCACAGCATGTTGGATTTGTTCTGGAATACTTCTATCACAATAGCAAAAACATCTTAGTGAATATTATTTACAGCATGCACAGAGCAGTGCATAATAAATACATTAAAAACACAGTCCTTCAAAGAAATACACTATGTAGGGTGTGATTATCTTTGTTTCCAGAAACGAGAAACTGACAGACTCCCCAAGACAGAATTGCATCCAGATCTTTGCCTTAATACATGTCAAGGGACCTTTCCATTAATGTCTCTTATCCCCTTGCGAGCTCATGTGTTCTTTCAGCCTCTACAATGCCCTGTAACAATGATTTTGACCAATAAACTGTGAACATTAAGAAGTATTTCATCCATGTAAACGATCATACTGAATTTTGCTTTTGAACAGTGTAGTAGAGTTCAACAAACTGACCTGCAGTGGTGTCGGCGCACCATCCATGAGAACTCTCTCTGGCAGTCCAGACAATGATTAACCTCTGTGTCCCCTTGCCACCTTTGCTCTGCACTAAGCTTCTGCTGGAACTCCAGAGCATCTGATTTTTGCCACAAAGCATCCTTATCTCTGCAGAGACACAGTTAAAAGAAAGAAAAACACATAGAAATTATCAGTGCTGTTTTACTGTTAACCAACCTCAATTTGAATGCAGGTGAAAGCTTCATAGTAAAAATTGCTTTGCTGTAACTTCTGAGGAGCTTTCAAGAATAAAGACAGATCAGGAAACATACCAAAGCTCTTGGGAAGGGGGGCAGAAAAATACATCCCATGCAGAAAACTACATATTTTTTCAAAACAGACAGCAAATTAAGGAGGAGTTAATATTGGGTGTTACATTTTTGACTGCATTATGGAAACGCAAAATTTCAGCTGATGATGAACTTGGCCATTACCTGTATCTTCAATTCACGAATACAAGACTGAACCACCTAAGCAGTATCCCTTAACATCCTAAGCTAGGATTTTAATTTCTGCTTGCTACTTATTTTGATCCCAACCTGATAAGTTCTATCAAACGTTCTTCAAGGAATTGTTTTGTTCTCGTCAGGTCATCCAGTTCAGCAAATAACTTCTGGTCACTGCTGTCTTTGTCTGCTGCCACCTTGCTGAGCTTCTCACTGTAATCCAGGGCCTTCTCTTTTGCTTCATCAGCTTCTTTTTGGATCCTGATAAAATACAAAGGCAATTAAGAATCACTTTTAGCTCATGTGCATTCAAGTCTTCCCCATGGAAGAAAGGGGTCCTCCACCCTGATAAACAGGTAGTTTCAGTGAAATTGTTCTCAGTGTGCATATTTTTTACAGATAGCCAGAATCTCTCCACTTTTCTGCATCACTGAAAGTGCACACAGATTCGTTATCTGGTGAATACAGTCAGCAATCAGCAATTTCTTGGATGCCCTGCTTATAGCGAAGCTTATGATGGCTACCACACTGGGAATAAAATCAGTGTCTTTGGAAGCATCAGCAGCTGCAAACTGAACGAAATGGGGAAAGTCCTACAGCTGCAGGTTGCCTAGCATCTGCAGGTTGCACACAAAAGGGCCATTTAACATGTACTCCTCCACAGCCTTCATGTTCACAAAAGGGAAGCAAACCAATTTCTCACTATATTCTTCTAACACAGATGCAATTCAAAAACTAAAGGTTCATAGAATCATAGAATCATAGAAT